CAGAGTGATGCAATCACTTTAAAGCACATTTCTAACTCAAACTCTTGGTAATCCATCATGCTAGGAATAAAATTTCAGATCCTTATCCTAGCCTCTGACCTCTCAGGAATGATCTACCATTCTCTTACCATCTACCACATCCCAGATATAAATGCATGGCAAGAGCACACATGTAAGAAGCTTTTCACTACCTGTTCCTCCGCCTGGGGCCTTCTTCAGAAGTTTGTATAATTTATATATTTCACCCAGGTTTTTAATCAAATTCTTCTTCAACCATAGACTTGTTGTAATATACTCTACTTACAATAGTTATTCTATTTAATTTCTTTTCCCAATTCTGTATTCTCAGTGCACATCATGACAAATTCTCTTCAATATTTCTATTAAATAATCACATGATCCATACAAGGATATAAGAATGAATATAGGTATTCATATATAAATAAATCTGAACATATTACTCTTATTGGCAGGCCTCAGGTATTTAACAGTATGTTCTCATGTGACATATATATCTCATATCTGTGTATAAAAGACCCAGAGAAAGCTATTGAGGTTCAAACTTCAAGCTGTTGATTGGAAAAGCAAAGCAACCAGCCACCAAGCTTTCACCTATAGTTCAGGCTAAAAGGGCTGATCCCAACTCTTCACCAAGCCTCAAACTGTTGCCTCTCCTCAGTGTGGCTGGAGAATGAATGCCCAATACTGAAGCCTATCCTCTATACCTCCCTAATGCTGGGATTAGAGGTGTGTGATCCCAGGTGCTGAGATCATCTGTGTGTGAGCTGTTCCTTTTTAAAACTGTATCAATCTTGTGTAGATCTGAGTGGCCTTAGACTCACAGAGATCCATCTACTCTTAATCTGGAGTCGATTTCTAGATGTTGGGATTAAAGGTATGTGTCTGGCTTCTATGGCTTGTGGCTGACTTTACTTTCTGAATTCTCAGGCAAGCTTTAATAAATCATAAATAATATATCACCACATCTGTCCAAGTGAAATAAGGACATAACTCTAACAACACAGAGAATAAAGTCTTTAGCCAAACCATTCAGTCCCAATACTAGCATCACTACTCCACTGGCAGCTGAAGGCCACCGTGTGGCTGCTACGCTACTTTGGTCACTTGTAACACAAAAATAACTCCATATCTGACCGAGTTTTATAGATATTCAATAAGTCTAGAGTATGAAGAAATTTGAACAGTGACAGCGGAAGAGGAAAGGACTCAGACATATATAGGGGTAAGGTTCATCTTCTGATGCCAGAAGGGCTTAGAAAGATGGATTTCAGCTTCTGAAAGATCAAATTAGCTGACCTATGTAATTATATCTAGCAAAACTGTCCATGGTAAAAACAAAAGCAACTCATAGATTATTATACCTAGCAAAATTGTCTATGATAAAAACAGACTAAAGCAACTCTTAAATATAAACCAATTCTACAAAAGATACTGAAACTAAAGAAACACACACATGCACACAAAAGAAACTACAGGGGAAAAATACAAAATACCAAGACAACTAATCAAAAACAGTCTAGGAAATTATGACAAAATGGATAAAAGAGCACAAACAAACATATCTATTAATAAGAATCCTGAATGTTAATTATCTCAAATCCTCAATAAAAAACATAACAGAATAGAAGAGCAGATTAGGCCTGGTGGTGGTGGTGCAAACCTTTAATCACAGCACTCGTGAGGAAGAGACAGGTGGATCTTTTTGAGTTTGAGGCCTTCCTGGTCTAGTGAGCCAGTTCCAGGACAGTCTCCAAAGCTACAAAGAAACCCTGTCTCAAAAAACAAAAAGTAAAATAAAACGAAATGAAACAAAATAAAAAAACCCACACAGAAGAATGGATTAGAAAACAGGATGCATCTTTTTGTTGCCACTCAGAAAAACACCGTATCATCAAAGAAAGAACCATCTTTGGTTAAAGTGTAAAAAAAGTGTTACAAACAAATGGAAAAAGGAAACAAGCTGGTTTAGCTTTTATTTTTAAAGGTATTTATTTGGTGTGTGTATAGCTATGTGCTGGACACAGGGCATATGTGGAAGACATAAGACAACCTGTGAAAGTAGGTTCTCTCCTGCCTACAGTGTGGGTATCATAAAACAACAAAGACTTACAGCAAAAGAAATGGATGTAAAACTTGACTGAGCTAAACCACTAATAGTTACACAGGAAAACAATTTCATATCCTACTATGACGCTTGTATAACCATGTTCAATATGCCCTATTCACATGAAGTCACCCTAGGTGTCCATCAACTGATAAATGGATAATAAAAATGCGGTACACATGCACAATGAAATTCTATATGGGTATAAAGAAAAATGAACTCAATGCAATTTCAGATAAATGGAGCAATGTTGAAAGAAATTAAACTGCATGCCCAGAAATCCAGGTACTGCATGTGCCCTCTTTCATATGCAGATAATGGGCTCTGTGTGTCTGACATGGACTGCCTGGGGAAGCAATACAGTTAGGAAGAGATCTGCGGAGTCAATAGATCATAGGTAACACCAAAGTAGAGACAGTAATATTGGGAATGGAAAGGGTTAGGAGGATGGGGGAATAAAGATATGGGGGGGGGTAACCAAAATGAAGTAATATGAAAAAAATATGGAAACTTAGTATTTCCTAAACCAATTTTAAAATCATAAATATACTTCATAGGAAGATACCTTGCATTACTAGATAATCTGCTCCTAGAAGCAGTGAGACATTAAACAAAACCCCAAAAGTGGTGTAAGACACCTTTGTAGGTCATGGAGGCCCCAGAGGTCCCTAGTAAAATACAGCTCTAGCTTTTCTTGGTTGCCTGCCAAAACTATATGATAAGACCCTATTGTTGAAGACACCATATAACCTTAGTCACAAAACACAGAAAAATAAAACTAGAATTGAAGGAAACCTCCTCCTGATGGCTAGCTATCAGTGTTGGGAGGTACGCTGCAGGCTTTCAGGATAGACAACATCAAGGGTCTAACCCAGCAGTGAACTCTATGAACTATAGCATCAACCTGCCAGGCATGACATATCCCTGTTATGGGGTAGCCAATTGGTTTTTAAATTAGATTTCAGACCTGGCCCATAGAAGGGAAACCATGCCTGGGTATTGTAAGCCTAATCAAAAATCCAGTTCTCAGAGAGTCATAAGTAGACCCCATGAGATAAATCAGTTTTCAATTTATCTTTAAATAAATAGAAACAACTAGCCTCTCTCTGTAGTGAATGGTGGTTAATTCACAGACTCATGGCTGCTAAAGACACTGAGAATGAGTGACAAATAAAGGCTCATTCACAGCCAAGTCATTCATATTCTCCTGCCTCGAGGTAAGGAACAAAGTGGAAGAAGCAAGGGACAGAATTCAAGGGCTGAAAGACAGGGACCTGGGTAGAGAAATCCCATCCCCTTGACACAGCACTGCCAATCATCAACTACAGCAGCTTCAGTTTCTTGTGTACACGAGAGCGGCATCTCAACAGTCAGTCATGGTTGGGAGGAGTTTATGGGACCTTGTCTCTTCACACTGAAGCACTGGCTCCTGGAAGACCGGGAGGAGAGCCATCATCTTCAGTTGTGCGCCCATGAGGCAACCTCAAGGACCCAACTGGTCACACAGACGACACTGGTCAAAGCCAGAACCACACAGGCAGAAAGCTGTGAATGTGGCAAGAGCTCACTAGGGAAGAGGTAGGAGGAGCAGGACAAGGAAGGAGACAAGAGGACGGGCTGAGAGCGCATCTAAGTGTGTCGACAGCTGTGATAGTGTGCTTACTCTGACACAGATGTCTTTCAGAGGAAAGCTTCACAGCCCTGAAACAAATCCTTCACAGTTTTCCTAAGGAGCATGAGAACAACATTCTTGTTTTGGGAGAAAAAAAAATGAAGCACTAAGGTCCTAGAAGTAAAAGTAATAAGATATGATGAAATGTTTATTTGTTGTTTGACCTTTAAATGGATGAGTTATAAAAGAGTTGTAAAATGAGAAAGTTTGTAACAGTGATTTAATTTTCATTGTTACTAAAACTTTCTAGAAGTCACAGTCTTCTGAATAGTCACCCCAGATTCTGCCACCTGCTTTATTCTATGCATGCTTTTAAATTGCATTTGTAGAAAAATGTGTGAACTGGAGATCAATATATCAAGCCAAATACACAGACTCAGAAAGATGAACGTCACATAATTTCTCTCATATGTTGTGATAGTTGGTTTTATGTCGGTTTGACACAGAAACTAGAGTTATCTGAAAGGAAGACTCTTAATAGAGAAAATGCCTCCATAAGATCTAGCTGTGAGGCATTTTCTTAATTAGTGATTGATGGGCTAGGGGTCGTGGGTTCTATTACAAAACAGGCAAGCCAGTAAGCAGCACCCCTCCATCATCTCTGCATGAGTGCCAGCCTCCAGGTTCCTGTCCTGTTCCTATTTGAATTCCTGTTCTGGATTCCTTTGATGATGAACAGCTCTGTGGAAGTGTAAGCCAAATAAACCCTTCCTCCCCAATTTGTTTTTTAGTCATGCTGTTTTGTTACAATAGTAATTGCAACTAAGACACATGTGGAAGTTGTGTGTGTGTGTGTGTGTGTGTGTGTGTGTGTGTGCGTGCTTGTACACGCATGATGCATAAAAGTAACACATGGACTATGAAGAGGGAGGAATTGTAAAGGAAGAGAGAAAATAGAAACTAATAAGAAGAAAGAGGAAGCAGGGAGGAGAGATGAGGGTTGAGGTAATATGAGGGAAGTACAATATCTATATGTATGTATGTATATATACAATGTTATAATGAAACACATTATTTCATACACTAAAAATTAACACAAAAGTACTTTTAGTAAAAAGATGATTACAGATTTAATCTAAAATCTAGTATCTATATGAGTTTTAAAAATGACTTTCTAATCAAACTAAAAGTAAATTTTTAAGAAAGAAAAAATTAGATATCCTCTACTTGAAGTTCAATAACAGAAATTTGGGGAAATCATACCTCATCCGTGTTATAGATTATCTGGAGACCTGAAGAAATCATTTCTACCAGGTAAAGGAGAAAAAGTGACACTGCATTTATCTGAAAACAAACAGTAATAGTTAAAGGTTAAAGGAAAGGATGAAAATATTATGATATGAAATTAAATATACATGTTTCAATTTTCATCAGTAGTGCCAGATAAAAGTAATTTCTTCTCTATCACTAAATAAAAGATTTGAACCCAATACAGAACAAGAAAAGCAACATTTTATATGAAGGGCTAAAATGTCAAATCCATGGTGCTGATTAAAACAGGACTGGGTCTGAGAAGGCTATAAACAGAGTTCTAGCATGGATTCGGCAATATTTGTTTTCCTTCAATTTTAAAATTCTGAATCTAAAATGCTTCTTTTTGGAATAGTTTTGCCCCAGAGGAACTAATATAATGCCATCCATTTGTAATGAAAAATCTGTTTGAAAAACAAGACATCACACCTCCACCAATAAACTATAAACAATGAGGAGTGCATCTTGAAAACATTCGCATTAGAAAGCAGAATTTATAGAAACAAAGGAACGTGTTAACTTTAATCATTGGTATGCTATATAATTTAAAACTACTTATGAAAAAGTGTTAAGAACACATGAAACTATAAGTGCTTTATAGCAATGCTTCCTAATTTAACCATAAAAGATTCCTAGTAGACTATATGAAGCAGGAAAGCGCAATCTCCAATATGGACACCTCTTGAGTGATGATTAATTTTCAGTGTCACCTGGATGTGGAACAAAATGGCAGAGGAAGTACAAATTCTTGCTCTGTTGACAGAGCTAGGATACTCTTATTCTGGCTTCAACGTTAAACCGGTCTCTTAGGTTTGGGGTTCCAGTTAAGTTTGGGGTTCCAGCGCTCCAACACCACGCATCCTTTCCCAGGTTTGGTCCTTCAGCCTCAACTGAGAACCACACTTTCACCATTTTGAAGGCTAAGTTCAGCTACACAGTGAGTTGTAGCCAGTGTGAGTAACAGTGAGGCCTCGCTGAGTATTTGAAAACAACTATTAAGAAAGACTTTGCATGTGTGCCACACTATGAAATTTTAAATGTCTGAGACAATAGATGTGCCACTTGTCATGATCTGATCATTGTATCTGTTTATTAAAATTATATACAGTATCCCATCAATATAAAGAGTGCTTACCAATTAAAAATATTTTTCATTATACATATTCCCCCAAAGAATTAAAATGGCAAATGTGAACAACACCAACAATAAAAACTTTAATTCTGCTCTTTGAGAGGACTACTCTTTTTTGATGTAAGCTCGTTGAGACTTTTAAAGCCTTCTTATAAATTTAGTAATTCCAAGGCTTTAAACTTTAGTGCATTTTAGTTGTTAGTCTATACACATGCACACACACAAACCACAGTTCATGAGTGGAGGTCAGAGGTCAGATTTCCAGACTTGGTTCTCTCCCAGGTCATCAGGTTGGATGGCAGGTACCTTTACATATGGAGCCATCTCACTAACCCAAAGTTTTCTTTTGTTTGTTTAAAGTAAAGCTAATGTCACACACTTTTTACTTTGATTTTAATAATCTACAGCAAAGTTTTAGATAATACATTTAACTGCATCATCATTAAAAATAAACAAACACAAAATCTCTGTTACAAAGTAATGGGGTTCTGTGTAGCATTTTCTGTGTTTGGAGACAGAACACTAAAGTTTAGAATTCTTCTAAATTTATGAATAAACTTTCATTTCTGAAGGTAGGTTTCTTTTCCTAAGTATAAACGATAACAGAAGCCACTCAACTGATTCATTAATTCAATAAAACATTTACAACAGAATGGGGAAACTATTGAGAGAGAGAGAGAGAGAGAGAGAGAGAGAGAGAGAGAGAGAGAGAGAGAGAGAGAGAGAGAGAGAGAGAAACTCCAGCTGGAGAGAGAGTTCAGCTGGTAAAGTGTTTGCATAAATGAAGACATAATGATCTCCAGAACCCATGCTGAGTGTGGTGGCATCCTCTTGTAATCCCAGTGCTGGAAAGGCAAAAAACAGTCAGATCCCTAGGGCTCACTATCTAGACGACCCAGCCTAAGCAGGGAGCACTAAGGCAATGACAGACGCTATCTCAACATGAACAGTACCCAAGTAACTACTCTGGAGGTTGTCCCTGGCCTCTAGATGCACTCATGTACTATATATAGATGTATGTACATGAATACCTGTAAGTGTATGTGTATGAGTAAGTACACCTGACCATAAGAAAAACTCTTATTTTTAGTAAGGAATATGTGATTAATAAGTACCTAATTCCAAAATAACAGAATGCATAAGTTTAAAAAAGAAAATCTGTTGGGAAGAAATAGTATATATAATATATCTTACAAACAAGAAGAGAGGATTTCCATCTTAAAATACACAGATGTGGGGTGGTAGTGAAAACAAAAAAAAATTGTGGTAGATTCTCAGCATAGGTATAGAATTTAACAGAATACAAATCCGATAGGTCTCAAAAATATTTGTGATATTCCCATAGAAGTATTTAGTCTTAGTGGATGCTGATATACTAAAAATGATCTGTGGCCCAACAAAAACTTTTGAATAATTGTTATACCTAGTTGATGCCTTCTATTTCCAACTGCAGAAATTCTTTTAAATATATAAACGAGTTTCGCTTACTGAAGAAAGAGTAGGCATTCACCTTCTAAAGGGAGATAATCCATCTGCCCACTCCATGAACAAGGTCTACAGTAATACTCCACGCAGCCTTACCAGTTACCAGTGAACTTTCTTTGCCATTTCAGGGTTCACTTATACTGCCATTTTAAAGTTATAAAATTTACTTTGAAAAAGTGTAAGCAGTCTGAAAAATACCATGGCATAGAGTATACATGGTAGAGAAGTAAGTCTTTAATTTTTCTTTTACCTGAAGATGGCCATATTCTTCATAGGCGAGCAACTCATCTCCTGTGTGCACACTGAAAATGGAGTGAAGACACGTTGTGGGCCGTGGATCTTGCTTAAACTGCTGGACCTACAATCAAATATAAAATAGGAATGATGGTCATTCACATACTCATCTAGAATTAAGAAAGTTAGTTATTTTCAAGCATTTTTTCTTATAAGGATAGCTAAAGCTTATAGGCTGGGGAATGGACAAAGTAGAAATATCACCCTTTCTAAGGAAAGGTGGTAGATAAAGTTCATTAATGACTAACATATTAGAGTGAACATAATTGTCAAGTGACAGTTCCCAGCACTGAAGTTGAATGGAGCAGGAAGTGTGTGAGCATGGCAGCAACAGTTTGTTACAATGTTTTGTATATTGCTTGAGTTTTTAAACATTTCATTTATTTATAGTGTGATTAAATTCTGTGTGTGCATGTGTGTGTATACATGTGTGCATGTGTGTGAGTGGGTTTGTATGGTGGTTGTGTTAGGAAAAGACTACCAGTCATATATGCAATCAGCAAGAACATTTATTCCAGCATGCAAGGGTCTGACACAGTATTGAAATGGTAGAGATGCTGGCAGGTTCCTTTTAACCATTGAGCATGGAGGTATTTGGGTGGGGAGGTGCATTTTTAAACCGACTGGTGTGAGGGCTCTAAGGGATATGTACTGGTTGTTACAGGATTGGCTGCTGGTTTTAAAGATGCAGGGTAAGCTATCTTTAGCTAGCATAAAGTGACAGACTCCTTCTGATGGGTTTCAGAGGCAACCAACCAGAAGGACTGTGATTTTTTTTTTCTCAAGAATTGCTCACTCAGTTACAGTGACCTGAAACTGAGGCCTAGTTTCTGACTGGGCTATTAGGAGCATTTGTTTGGCTCTCTCAATTTGAATATAATTGTCCCCCATAACATCATAGGGAGTGGCACTATTAGGAGGTATAAGCTTTGTTGGAGTACTTATAGACTTGTTGGAGGAAGTGTGTCACTATGGAGGTGTTCTTTGAGTCTCATATATGCTTAGGCCATGCCTAGTGTCTTAGACAACTTCCTATTGCTGCAGGTCAATATGTAAGAACTCTCAGCTCCTTCTCTAGCACCATGTCTGCCTGCATGCTGTCTTGCTTTCCATCATGATAATAATGGACTAAACTTCTGAACTGTATGCAAGCCACCCTAATTAAATGTTTTCTTTTGTTAGAGTTGCTGTAGTCATAGTATCTCTTCCCAGCAATGGAACCCCTGATTAAGACAGTATGTATACATGTGCCACACATGTTATGGAAAATCAGAAGACAACTTGTGGGAGTGTTCTCTCCTTCCATCATGTGGGCCTGAGGACTGAACCTCAGTCATCAGTTGGTGGCAGGCACCTTTACCAGCTGAGCTACCTTATCTGATTTTGAGTAAAATACATTCAAAATCTTATTTGATTGAGTAAAATATATGTTTCTTATGCAAAATAAGGTCCCTCAACTATACAGTTACCTGGAAATGCTTAACACGACAGATGAATGGAAGAGTACTTTCCACTATATTCTAATGCAGTTAAGTATCCAAACCTCAGATTGCTTTCTATAAGGATAACACATTTTAACTATGGTACAGCAAATAGATTTTCATTTCTCATCCAGACATAATTACCAAGGTAAGAATTCAATGAGGATATAGAAAACATTTTTGTTAACTAATTACATAACATTTGCTTTTCTTTTTTCCCCAGTTGGCTATCTCTTGCTATGTTGGCCAATCTGGTCTCAAATAACAAACTGAGGGGATCTATTCCTTTCTCTGGGATAGCTAGGACCATGGGCCAATGTTCCTACCTTAATCATTGTAGATTACAAAGTACAAATTCTAAACAATACGAGATAACTCCAAAGACAGCAACATCCATCCTCTTTCAGGGCCTGTTCAATTGGACTTGAACAATATTTACTGATGCCAATGTTCATTCCATGAACTGTTGAAATGAACTACTGACCTCAAGGAAAAAAAAAAATCACAGGAACTCAAACTCATAGTGAAGTCAGATGTGGGAAACCTAGAGGCCCACTACTTGCTAGTAGTCTCTGAAGTCAGAGGGAGTTTTAGAGTACTGACTGAGCCTTCAGCCTCTGGAAGCTACACTGAGTTCAGGTAGTTACTGGTACGACTGAATTAAATAGAAGAATGATAGATGTCTCGAAATAAATATTGGCTTGGTGTCAAGCATCCATATATTTGGTAATAGAAGTAATGTGAATAAAGGTTTTCCATTCATTCTCTTGTATGACTCTAGAAGCTACCTTCTCCAAAATGGTACCATACCCACTTTTTACAAGTGACTAATCAAATTACAATTAATTAAAATTGTATAAGCTATGCAAGCCAAGAAGTAGCATGTAGACTTCTGGCCATATTTCAATTGCTCCATATCTATGTGAGGCAACTATATATGCTCAATATGGACACAAAGCATCTCCATCATGACAGAAAGTTCTATTCTAGGTCTAAGAGACCTGGCCCCTTGCACAAACAAATATGACTAAAGTCAACAAAATCGAAGTCAGGATCAATCAGCAAGATATGAGGACTGAGAACACAAGGGGCACACTATGAAAGACAGTATTCTGGCCATGATATAGTCACTGCACTTATGAATTCACTGCAGCTATGATTACCCACATGAGAGCACCCAACAAAGCAGTCAAAATCCCAACAGGAAGCCTAACTGGACTCAAAGGTTTACAAAAAAAACATATGGGGGGAAAGGTGTAAGGAGCTGGAAAGATGGTTGAGCAGGTAAGAGCACTGGCTTCAATCCCCACCACACACATGTGGCTTACACCATCTGCAACTTCAAGCCCAGGGGATCCAACACTCTCTTCAAGGCTCCAAACAAACATCTGGTACATAAACATAAAATAAACATGAAATAAAAAATACTTTTTAAAGTAGAAGACATGAAGTGGTGGTGAACATGTTGGGGTGGATGTGATCAGAACATATTAATTATGTACAAAATTGTCAAAGAAGAAAAAAGTCTATTAAAAAGCAACAACAGAATGAGGAGATAACTTGGGATGAATACTTTCCATTTATAAAGTAACTGAGGGACTCATAGAAGGTAGACATTCTGTTTCCATATAAAAACATAAGCAATAGCCTGGAACTACACAAGTAAACTACACAAGTTATTCCTTTCTTACTTCCATGATTTCTATCTCAAAGAAATGAACATTATTCTAGACTCCTAATCAAAAATATGGCTGAACTGACCTACTATATATAGACAATGAAGTGGCTGAGAAAGAAATCAGAGAAACATCACCCTTTACAATAGCCACAAACAACATAAAATATCTTGGGGTAACTCTAACTAAACAAGTGAAAGACCTCTATAGCAAGAAGATACCAGAAAATGGAAAGATCTCCCATGCTCTTGGATAGGTAGGATCAACATAGTAAAAATGGCAATCTTACAAAAGCAATCTACAGGTTCAGTGAAATCCCCATCAAAATCCCAGTATAATTCTTCACATACCTTGAAAGGACAATACTCAACTTTATATGGAAAGACAAAAATCCAGGATAGCTAAAACAACCCTGTACAAAAAAGCAACTTCTGGAGGCATCACCATCCCTGACTTGAAGCTCTACTATAGAGCTATAATAATGAAAACAGCTTGGTATTGGCACAAAAACAGACAGGTAGACCAATGGAATTATATTGAAAACCCTGATATTAACCGACACACCTATGAACACCTGATTTTTGACAAATAAGCTAAAACTATGCAATGGAAAATAGAAAGCATCTTCAACAAACAGTGATGGCATAACCAGATGTGGATATGTAGAAGACTGCAGATAGATCCATATCTATCACCATGCACAAAATTTAAGTCCAAATGGATCAAAGACCTCAACATAAATCCAGCAACACTGAACCTGTTAGAAGAGAAAGTCGGGGGCACCCTTGAATGAATTGGTACAGGAGACCAGTTCCTGAACATAATACCAGTAGCACAGACACTGAGATGGACAACTATTAAATGGGACCTGGTGAAACTGAGACGCTTTTGTAAGGCAGCAGACAGCAAGACAAAACAGCAGCAAACAGAGTGGGAAAGATATTCACCAACCCACATGACAAAGGCCTGATTCCCAAAATATACAAAGAACTCAAGAAGCTAGTCACCAAAACACCAAATAATCCAACTAAAAAGTGGGGTACAGAACTAAATAGAGAATTCTCAATAGAAGAATTTAAAATGACTGAAAGACACTCAAGAAAGTGCTCAACATCCTTAGCCATCAGGGAAATGCAAATCAAAACAACTCTAAGATACCATCTTTCACCTGTCAGAATGGCTAACATCGAAAACACCAATGACAGTCTATGCTGGAGAGGATGTGGAGAGAGGGGAACACTCCTCCATTGCTGGTGGGAGCCAAACTCATACAGCCACTTTGGAAATAAGCATGGCAGTTTCTCCAGAAAATGGGAACCAGTATTATACCTCAAGATCCAGAAATTCCACTCTTAGGCACATACCCAAAGGATACACATTCATACAACAAGGACATCTTTTCAACTATGTTCATAGCAGCATTATTTGTAATAGCCAGAACCTGGAAGCAACCTAGATGCCCCTCAACTGAAGAAAGGATACAGAAAATGTGGTATATGTACACAGTGGAAAAAAACAATGGAATCTTGAAATTTGCAGGTAAATGGATAGAACTAAAAGAAAACATCCTAAGTGAGCTAACTCAGTCACAAAAAGACAAACACAGCATGTACTCACTCATATATGAATATTAGATATAGAACAAAGGATTACCAGCCTACAATCCACATCTCCAGAGAAGTTAGGAAACAAGGACTATAAGAGAGACATGCATGTCACCAATTAGAAGTATGGGGGTAGGAGAGAGGAAGTAGGGGAAAGAGCAGGGGAGAAGAGGAGGGGTGAGGAGAACATGAGGGATCAGGAAGATTGAGTCAGGAGAGGAATAGAGGAGAGCAATAAAAGAGACATCAATAGAGGGAGCCACTATAGGCTTCAAGAGAAACCTGGCACTAGAGAATTATACA